TGATTTGTACTACCAGTTCTTGGGGAGATGTATCGGTTTTAGATATTTTCTTTTAATTAATTTGATTGGAATTGGATAGTTGGAAATTGGCTTATCTAACGGGTTGGGTTAGGTGCCATCACGACTAGTGAGATTTTGGGTCGTGACACATAGGCTGTAATATAAATCTTGGCAGACCATGGCTACACGAGATGAAGGCTGTTCCATCAGCATATCACCAACTTCTGAACATTTGGCTACACGAGATGAAGGCCGTGGCAGACCATGGCTACCTTTGCCCATAGCATTGTCCATACTTTTCGAACATTTGAACAAGTATGGGAAGCACTTGTTGTTGACATAAGAGAAGGAGTCTTGTCGAGTAGAGTCACTGTCCCGTCGATAAGATTAACCGTGTCAAAGTTGCTGAAGCCTGATCCTGAACTGGCTGATACAATTTATAATAAGTGCTCAAGATTGAGCAATTGGTACGACTTGATTCCTGAACTCTTCCCAAATACAAGGTGCATATATGGTATAATGACAGGATCCAGGAGCGGCTCAAGCACATGCGGGGCCTAAGGCCAAAATTTAATACAAAGGCCTAAATTTTTAAAATGAAGTTATAAGATATATTGTTATCTGAAATCTAATCTTCTGGCTTTTTGAGATATAAAGTTGTTAATGATCTTTTTTATAATCAACTTTTTCTAATAATTCTTTTTCAATCGATATTATAGACAACTCATTTAGTCTTATTCAGATATTGTTGATTTTAGATAAGATATTATAGAGCAATAGAAGTATAAAACTATTGAAAGTTTAAAAGTATTGTTGAACACTTAAACTAATAAAATCTTGGAGAAAGAATATGAGTAAGAATAATAAAGAGAAAGACAAAAAATATGTATTTGAAATATAAAGAGATTGGTAAAAAGAAAGATTGACTTGAACAAATTAAGAAAGGGAGAGTAAAAATTTTACACGTTCTCTAATGAAGGAGTAAAAAGTAAAAAATTGGAACGTTGGAAAACTATTCATCTACCCATTTTTAAGTAAGTCAAATTATTACTTTATTTTTATATATATAAAGAACTTTCTTTCCTTTTATATTAAAAACTCTACTTTGTATTAAAAGTATTAAATATTATTTTTTAAACACCTATAAACCTATTATTTTTAAAAAATGGGGCCCCCAAATTTGGGGACCTATGGCATAGGCCTTACCTCTTAGTATAACATTAGACAACCTTACTTGAAGAAACTGAGGCATTATTCTGGGGAATTACCTTTATTGAGTGCAGATTATGGTTCTTCTGAAGGATGGGTTGGAGTAAACGTTAACCTGAAATTGCCCCCTGAGCTAGTCACTTATGCAGTATTACCAAATATTGGTTATTTTGAATTCATTCCTCTTGGGGGAAATCTCAATGGCGTGGAGCAAGCGTATTCTCCAGTGGGTCTGACTGAAGTTAAACTTGGTGAAGAGTATGAAACTGTCTTCACAAATTTTGCAGGTACAATTTTCTTGCACCCCTTTTCTTAAAAATGTTTTGCTTACCAAAAATATTATTATGTTGGTGACTCATTGCTTACCAAAAATATTTCTTAACTTAGTATATGAATAGTTTATTGAGCGACCATCAACATTTGATTATGGATTATGACTCTTGGTGAGCGACTTCTGCATTATTTGGATTTACTTCTTTCCATCTGCAACTCTGATGAGTGAGACAATTCCTTTCTTGTTTCACTTATATATGGTACTTATAGTTTAGACATTTGGTACTTATAGTTTAAACATGATCACTTACAAATATTAAATTCTGCTTAGATAATAAAACTTATGATTTGTTTTTATGCTTTGTTCTGGACTTCAACATACTTTTCAATCATCTGTTGTACATATTTGTTCTAATCTAAATAATTGCATGTGCCTGATATTCATGTCTTTTTGTCCACCTGATGTTCTTGAAAAAGATACTTTAACAGGTTTCGAAGGCATAGAATGTTGGGATCTTTTGCATTCTGCCTTCTAAGTTCTGTCCAGTTGTTTCATATCCACCTCACTCACACATTTCTAAATAACAAGCTATTAGTCTATCTAGTTTGTCACTTATGTTACCGGATTTTAAATATATGCACTGACAATATAATTGACGATTTTATGAATGTGTATATGCAGGTTTATATCATTATAGACTAGGTGATGTGGTAAAGATAAAAGGCTTCCACAATGTGACTCCAGAACTCCAGTTTGTATGCAGAAGGAACCTTTTGCTGCGCATTAACATTGACAAGAACACAGAGAAAGATTTACAACTAACCGTAGAAGCTGTAGCAAAGCGCTTAGTAGACGGAAAACTAGAAGTGGTGGACTTCACGAGCCATGTCAATGTCTCAGCTGATCCGGGACACTATGTGATCTTCTGGGAACTGAGTGGTGAAGCAACTGGTGAAATGTTGCAAGATTACTGCAACTGTTTGGATAAGGCGTTTATCGATGCAGGCTATGTGAGCTCCCGGAAAGTGAATGCAATTGGAGCACTTGAGCTGAGGATTGTGAAGAGAGGAACATTTCATAAGATATTAGATCATTTTGTAGGATTAGGAGGTGCAGTTAGCCAGTTCAAAACTCCTAGATGTGTTGGTCCAAAGAATAGCTCATTGCTCCAAATACTCTCTAGTAATGTTGTTGAGACCTATGTTAGTAGTGCCTTCTGTTGAACTATTTGTAGCTTTCCTGCTTTGTGCAGCCCTACTGAACTGGGCATTATTCTCTTAATAATACTTCAAATTGTCGAAAACTGGAGACTAGTTTCACATCTCTATTTCTCGACCCCAGTGGCAGATGTCGCTTATAAGCGGTAGTAGCACGGGTATGCTACTCCTTTTCTCTAGAACTATACATATAGAGATACAAATTGTTAAATGTCGTATGAACGCGGAGCCAATTGTTTAATCGAACAACATAACGAGTTAAAGGTTACAGAAGCCTTTGTCATGCCTGATAGACACAAAATTGCAAGCAAATAGAGTAGAGAGGTTATTCTTTTTTTCAATTAGAATCGCGAGCTTGTTGTTGATTCAACCCGGTCAAATTTGCATAATTGAATGTCATGTACTATGATTATTACTCCTGAAAATCTTAGCTACAATTGTGTTAGTTACATTTATTGTCGCACAATGGACTAGTTCAGTTAATTGATACTCTGTGTTACAACCCGCACTTTGGAGTTGTGACTTCGGCTAGTGGTTGGCCTGCAACGAGAGAAACTGCAGGTGCCGCACGGATAATTCGGTGGTGTTAGTGAGCGTAAGGAAACGTGCACGTGACACTCTGTATCTACTAACTGAGTCTGAGTTTGAATATGTATTTTGACAAATGTTCAAATCCCAGGGGGTCCACCAGCTGGTTGACTCGTAATCATGGACCACTTCTGAATTTATCTAATCCTAGTATGACAAACTTACTGTGAGTTGTCGGTTTTGTGGGACCAAGATCAGATATTAGTGCGACGTTGAATTTGGTTTGAAGTTTGAACCGTATTTGCTTATTTAGCTTTTTGGACGAGTGGTGATGTTTATTGCTACCCTCTTTGGAGAAAGAGACAACTCTCTGGAGCATAGATACGTGTGGGAAGCATAAATCTGTAAAGGGTAGTTTGGTTCGAATATAAGTTACGGTGAGATTAATTATTTGATATATTATTTTTTATTGAATGTTTGGTATGTTGTATTAATTTTAGGATTATCAATTTTATCACTTTATCTTGGGATAATTTATCCTGCGATTACTATTCCAACAAGAGACGAATCCTGAATTTGAACTTTAAGGGTTCACATTCGCAATTCTACCATATCTAATCTAATTTAATGGGTTCAAATTTTTTTATTTGTACATAGTTAATAATATTTTGAGCAAAAATACATGCTATGTAGGGCTGGGCATATATCGGGTAAAACCGATAACCCGAACCGAAAAAAGCTTATTGGGTTATCGGTATCGGGTTATTGGGTTAATAATTCAGTAACGGTTTAGTGTTATTTTATTATTGGGCTATTGGTTCGGGTCTCGGTTTGCCCAATTTTATTAACGATTTAACCGATAACCCAATAAACTTTATAAAAATACGATTTTATCCTTAGGTATATAATTTTACCGTTCTCACAATTCTCTATCTGCTGTTGTAATTCTCCCAAATTTATCATTCAACACATAGAGAAATAATGTTGTAAGGTTTATCATATTCTTTGAGAGGGTTACAACACTAAAGAAAGTTTATCATATTCTTTATACAGTACACATTATCCCTCATTACTTCTTCCCTTTATAATCTAGATTGAGTTATCTTATAGGTTAAACTGATAATCGAACCAATAATGATCGATAATCGATATCTTATCGGCTCGGTTATTAGTTTAACATATTTATAAACCGATAACTGATATGCCAAACCGATAATATTCACAATCGAACCGAATCGACCGATGCCCACCCCTAATGGTATGAGCGAAAGCTATGGGTTCAGTTGAACCCATAGCTTCTACACTGGATACGCCTCTAATTCCAACCTTTGGTAGATATAAGTTATTTCGGTAACATTTTTAATCTTAAGATAACTTATTCTAGGATTAGTAACCAAACAAGGGATAAGGCAATACTAAATTTTTATCTCAAAATTATTTTTACTTATCCATTAAACCAACGACCCCTAACTAGTTCATGTTGAATGACAGATGAGGAGTTAAGAAAATGAAGGAAAATATCAGCCGTTTCTATATATGTGATCATATTTGATTAGACATAAAATTAAAAAAGAAAGAATAACTTTTGAAATTTGTAGTTTAAAATAAGATATCGACATTTCTATAGCTTTATATAAATATAAAATTTAAAGTTAAATTGTTTCTAAATATAAAAATATATTTTTTTTAAAAGACAAACTAAAGGAAAGAAGACGGGGGAGTCGCTGTATTTGGGTATTAAAAGAAGATCTTTTGCTAGATCTCAATCATCTGATCCTTTTCTAGAGGCTCAAAGTTCTTACTACCATTTTCCATTTTGGAAAGTAAGCAATATTCTCGTCCACTTTTAACAGTACTTGGCCAACTGATAAAGTGGACAGAGTTTTGATCAATCAAAGTTACATCTACATAGCAACCACCTACAAATTAATGAAAATCAAACAGAAGTAGGGAAGGAGAACAGAGCACAGTACAAGGACTATGTGGCCAAACATTTAACAAAGCCACCATTGTCCTTTGACAAAAAAGTGCTATACACCACAATCTCATAAGTATGATAAAAGAATATTAGCAAGTGGATTTTTTCAATTGTTTCAAGGGGTCGTTGACTGTCGGTTAGAGAGGAGTTATTCATGTATTAAAACTAGTAGGTACTTGACATGAAAAACTGTTGAGTGGAAAATTCTCTCTCCAAAATTATCCTCCTTCCCCTAAGATGGCCTCATCCTACCCCTACACAGGACCAAATACTGAAACCACCCGACCCATCGGACATTAGCTCAGCTCTTATGGAAATTGAAATGATTCCGAAAAAGAACACCTTCAAAGAAATATTATCCGAAAAAAAACTTGACAAAGTCAAGTACCTACTACCCCCAACACCACCAAGCCGGAATACTGTCGGAGACAACTAGGATCGAGGACATTTCGGAGCCCATCATCCTAAGCCAGGAACAAAAACTGAGAATCTACCACCCTTGGCGATTCTCAGTTATCCTCAAAGTTTTTGGGAGGAAAATTCCATACCACATTCTTAAATCCAAGCTCCAACAACTATGGACCCTTACAGAACAATTATCCCTCATCGATCTAGGCTGGGAATTCTTCACAATCAAGTTCGAAAAAGAGGAGAACATGACAAAAGCCTTACACGGAGGCCCATGGTTTATCATGGGTCATTTCCCCTTAGTTAGGAATTGGGATCCCAATTTCATGTCGGCCGTCTCAAAAATCCAAACCACAACAATCTGGATCCAGTTACCCCAATTACCCATGGAATTTTATGACAAAGAAATTCTGGAGAAAGAGGGAACAAGGGTGGGAAACTTCCTAAAGATCGATACGTGCACATCTTCAACCCTGAGAGGTAGATTAGCACGGATATACATCCAAGTGCCGATCGAAGTCCCCTTCAGACGGACATGGAGGTTGAAAACCATAGGTAGCCGATCGAGTACGAGGGGGAGGGTATCATGTGCAAGAAGTGTGGGCGAATAGGCCACCTATCAGGGAGATGTACTATAGAACCACCACATGAGACACCAGAGAAGGCAGAAACATCCACGGCGAGGACAACCGCTCAAGAAGACAGCAACTGGAAGGTGGTGGAATTCCCAAGGAAAGCACGGCGGAAGAGAGCAACAACGGAGCGCCACAATCTCAGGCAATAAGGGGTAACAAATCGCAGCCAAGAGGAAAAGAGACATGCGCCGAATTCAGGTAAGTTTTCCATACTAGGGAACTCGGGGGAGGGCGGCTCCGATGAGGGCGGTACTAGGGCTGCAAGTCAAAACAACCCACTCGAACAGGCCCAAATTAACCTACATGGGCTATAGTAGCCCAAAACCAGAAGGTACCAAAGGTCTCATAGGCCAATACCGCGTGCAAATGGCCCAAATACAGAAGGCACATAAGTCAAACACACGCCTAAATTTGTATCCTACCTGGGCCACGCCACTAACACTCGCACACACACCACGAATCACAAATCCCCAAGACAAATACACGCATCCACTTCAGGTAAATACTCTCCACATATTAACAGCCCAAATGGGGCACAAACTTACCACATTGAAAGTCAATTAGTGGGATCCATAGTGGGGTCAAAATCAAGCCATAAATCCTCCTGTAATGGAAAAGAAGTCAGAGGGGTTATACTTGAAAGTGACATTCACACTCAAGACCATCCACCCACTGTTCCTCTTTATCATTTTCTCTCAGATGATTTGACTGAAGCAGTCACCTCCCAAAGAGCTCAAATCATGGGAGATTGCCATGCACGAAAACCAAATGAGACAAGGAGAGATTTAAATAACAGCTTTGGCTTGTTTAAAAATAATACTCTCACTGTCACCACTAACAACAAAAATGGAGAACAACCCCCCCCCCCCACTAACCAAACTCACATGCAGAACCAAGAAGAGGACCCAGCGCCCATCGTGGTGACTTCTTCACCCCTTCCCATGGATCGCATACCATTTTCATGGTTGGAGATGGCCCTACAGGGGGCTGTCTTTCCCCTAACCTTCAAAATAAGGGCTCTACCCATCATAGTAGTGATCCAAAACCCCCACTACCTGGCCAAAGTAGTCATTGCAAGTGTGAACCATGCAATGATGAACTATGGCTACCAGCTATGGTTAGCAACACTGATGCAATCACAGATGGCCTTGAGCCAACAAACCCTAACAACAAATCAACTGAGCTCACTAATGGAGCAGTTAAGCCACACCCTCCCCTTTTTCCCTTTAACCTCCCCAAAGGAGGGGATTCCAAGCCCATCCTTCCAATCAACATGGAGAGAGACCCCACCACCAAAAGAAACCCAGGTGGCAGGGTCAGAAAATGTCCACGGGCATCTAGAGGCAAGCAACACAGAGCTGGAGGACCTGATAGTAAAGTTGGGAGTGCCCAAGACAAAAGCTATGCTCCTGCAACAGGAGGAGCAAATAGAGTTTAGTGGGTCTGGGGGAGAAATG